TTTTTTATGCCTGCTTTGTTGTTTTTAATGGACTTAAAGAAACCCACAAACATGGAACAGCAAAGCTCTCTACCCTATATTATAATTTTGATTCCTTGGAAGGACTTATGAGGACAGTGGGGCAATTTTGTAAACAAATTGTTTAATTGATTAGATACATTGCTCCTTTCCAATTAAAAAGGACAAAAAAGGGAGCTTGTGACTCTGAGCCAATTTCATTGATGTATAGAGCATAGCTAATATCAGTCATTATTGAGGTCCTGATTGCAGCGTGTGTTTTCTCACAAACATGATTATAGGAAGCTCATTTGCATCGCTAAATGAAGGCTAAAAATACCAAAACATTTTTCCCTGCTGGCCAGAGCATAGCTGATTCAATCACTAAAATACAGATAAACAAAAGTAACTACTCTGATGAAGGCTGAGATGATGAAGCACAATGTGCATAAGAAATCAGTGATTTAGCTGGTAGTATGCTCTTCAGAAGAAGAACCACAAAGCTTCTCTTTAAAAATCACACCAGTCTATCATGGAAGTTTTTCTATGGCAGCAGAAGGATCTCTGGAAAATTTACATCATCCCTCATTCAAAATTCATCATAGGACGTGTTGGTAGCATGTGCTGAGGGACTGAACTGCAATGGATGTGTAAGAAAAAGTAATTCCTGCTGTCCCCAGCAGGACTGATGGCCAGCTGCAGTGAGTGGTAGAAGTTGTTGCCCCTTTTGCTGCACTAGAAGGCAGAGCCTGCGCAGCCCAGCACTGCTGACAGGGGGGTCTTTGCTTCTTAATCAGGGTCTGCATAGATGGGCTCACTTTTTCATGGATGAAATTACTTGCAGGGCAGCGGTTTGTTCCAGGTCTCCTCTTGGAGCAGGTGTTAAAGCAGTGAGGCTGTCAGGGACAGCCTATTAAATCTGTAGCTTTTTTAATTAATACACTTTCAATAGCTCCTTGTTTTCCAGCCCCACCAAAACTGTAAATGTTCCTGTCCAAAACCTCTAAGCTTCTCCAGTGCTGGCAGCCACATTTTTCATAGCAGAAGTATTGGGATACCTATCCATATGGAAAACAGAAAAATGCTTTGGGTCTAATTCAGCCTACTTCAGCTTCGCAGTACACCCCATTACAGCATTATTTAGGTTTAGTTTAAATAATCAGAAATAAATTTGAAATTGTAATCACATGTTCCTGGAAGCAGAAAACATCTAAATTACTGAAATGGATGGATCAGTGCCTATTATTTCCTCTATAATAGACTTAGCTGTCATTTTAATAAATGTGCCAAGATCTACAACCAACCCTCCTATTCCCCCAGATCTACAGGAAAATCTTCTGGAAATATTACATTAATCATTTTTGTCAAGACTACAGATGAAAGGAGCCATTTGTACTTTATGACAGTTGGTAATTAAACATTTACAGTACTGTGCCAATATTTAATACACAACTTAGAAGGAGCAAACAGAACAGAAGGTAAATCTGGCAGAGCTTATTGTGGAGTGATGTTGTGGGAATGTGCATGTGGGATCAGAACTGCAACACCACAGAGCAAGAGGCACTGCAATAAACTGTGGTAGCAACAAACTGCTTTTCCAGCTGTGCTAGACTTCTTTATCTCTTCCCTGGAGCAGAAATGAGAAAAATATTTTTATCTTTTAAATGACTTGGAGAAACCAGGTGAGATTTTGGGAGTCAAGATCACTGTCCAGTTTTGCAAGGCAATAAAGCTGTATAGAATGAGTCCCAAAGAGTTTCTTCTGGTTTTATGACTGCGCTGCTTTCTTCTTGTCCTGCATCTAGCTGAATTTATTGTAAAAGTCTTCTATGTCTTGTTTAGGACTTCCCTGTTTTCATTTCTGCCAGAATGCCAGACAAGAGTATGTTTGTGTAGTTTCTTGTCACTCTAATACCACTTCTGCACTTAAGGATGAACACTGTTTAATGTCTCTTACTCCCATTGAATAGATCAGAAATTATCCCATTTTTTCATAAGGATTAGACTGCAACTCGACAAATTGTGTCATCACAAACCAGATTAATCTGACTAAATGTCAGTGCACAATGTGCATGTCCACATCTGAGCTGTGTGCACTGATGTTTACTCCACGGAGGCAGAGCTACAGGGAGAACCATCTGCTAAAACAGACAATCAAGACAGAGAAAGTACATCACATCCTAAAAGTATTTTTTCCCTTTTTCGTCTCTATTTTTGAGCCTGGATCTGGCTAATTCATTTTTCTTATGTCTAAAGTAAGAGAGACAAGTCTCAACCAAGCATTTCTCGGCATGTTCCCAGGCTTTGTGACTGTTCTTGTTGTATGTGTTCTGTTCCTACAAATCATATTCTATTAAAAATAACCTCTCAGTTTTCTCCTGCACTATTACCAGAGCTTCCCATGGGAAGACAAATTAGAGTGTTCCAGAGAGATGGGGGTCCATCCCCAGAAGCATTCAGAGCCATATTGGATGGGGCTCTGAGCACCTGATCTAGGTGAAGGTGTCCCTGCTCATGGCAGGGGAGTTGGACTGGATGACCTTTAAATGTCTCCTCCAACCCCAACCATTCCATGATTCTTTGAGTCAATATTGGGTCTCCAAGGTATAACTGAGTGCATTCACTGATCTGTGTAATAAGTTGACACAGATAATTATATGCAGCATAAGGTAGAGCTTGCAGTCAGTGGAAGTGCCACGGACTATGGATAAAGCTGATTGGTGCCATGATTTCAGTTTTTTGCAAGCAGTACAGTTTGGGAAATGATCGTGTGGCAACAAGCGTGAAATTGAAGTGTCTGAGTGAGCTTGCATTCATGCACAATACTCTGTGCAAATATATTTAAGCAGATGCAATCTACTGAATAACCAATCTCCTGTCTCTAACCAGCTCAGTAAAGCACTGGCAAATACACCCAGCAAGAGACAGATCAGGCTGCAAATATTTGGTAGATTCCTGCTGCTAATTAAATTCTATCTGCAGTAAACTCCTCCAATTTTTAATGCAGTCACTGATGATCTTGCACTATGCAGATCTTTCATTCTAGCACTTCCCATTCTATAAGCACAGGATTTTTGGGGGCTATGTGTGCATTAGCTGGCAGTGCAGCTGGACAGGAGAGGCTCTGCTGACCTGACATCCATATGAGCAACATCTGGGGCAGTTCCATCTCAGATTTTCTCTCACCTGTTTCTGTGGTCTACAGGCTCAAGACTGGGAAGATGGCAATAAGTGCTCTCTTGGAACACCTTCTGGTGTTGTATCATTCAAAAAGCATCTGATTTGCGTGCTAAAATATGTACCAAAATGCAGTAGGGCTGTAAGGTTAGGACATTTACCTCAAAAATGCCTTCCCAGTCTCAGTTAAGGTTCTAGCACTGTGGCATCATATGTGGCTGATGTACCAAATCACCCAGGGTAGCTCTTCTTGCTCAAAATAAAGATTTTCTTTCAGATCCAGATCAAGGTCCAAGATCACCATGCATTTTGATTGGAACAGAGCAGTAGGTGTTTCCAGAAATAATCTGAAATCTTATCTAGCTTGGTCCTTCCCAAGGGAAATGAATATCAAGTAAAAAAATAAAGGATGGATGGGAAATAGTTTATTCTGGGCAATGAAATCTATCCTCTTATGAGCAGAAAAATTTTGCTCCTTTGCTTGATCATATGATTATTTCAGTCTATGACCAAATAAGCAAGAAGACCAACACCATGCTAGTGAAAGACATAAAATCTTTTCCTTTGTACATTTGTAAACTGTTTGTTGTTGATAATACAGAACACCATATCATTTCATGGAGTGATAAAAATCTGTATTTGCGAAAAAGTTGTGACCAAAATTACATATAACATGAAACAAAATTTACAATAGATTCAATTACAAAGAACTTTGTTTTGTAAAAGAATGGAATGATGTTGTAAAAATAGATTATTTCAAATTAAATGTTTTCCACTTCCAAAAACCTAACCTACTTGATTTAAAAAGTTGAAATGAAATTTGCTTACAGGTGGTAACCCTTCAAAACAAAAGCACAAATAGACAGAAAAAACATGCATTTAATATCAAAATGTGAATGTACAAGTTGTAAAATATCATAAATGCTTGGAATTTTGGCTGCTGTTTAAAATAAAAGGATTTTGTGTCAGCAATATTTCGACCAAAGTAGGTTTCTTTCTATTCCAGATAGTTTCATCCAGAATAGATCCATGAAAACAGAGACACATGTAACTTTTTAACATTTTATAACACCTAGCTATGGATCTGAGCAAATCCTTAATGTTTTTAGCTCTCCTTACTAAGCTGCTTTTCAACTCTGGCTCAGTCAGCCTATTGTTACAAATAAAAAGGTGTTTCTGATCCTGCGTCCACTGAAGTCACTAGCAAAACTTTGACTTGGCCAGGGTCACACCTTTTACTACAAAGCAGAACACATGATGTTAAAGAACAATGTGAATACACTTACACTGCAACTTTTTCAATGAGTTTCAGGTATTTAAATGAAATTATTCAGTGTTTGGCTTATTTGACACTACATTAATGTATTTACATCATGTACATCTGTTATAAACTCAACAGCAGTTGCTTAGAGACAGCTGTGTCCAGCAGTTTCACAAAATTTCAAACTGGACCATTTTAATTAACAGAGAGATTCGGGGTAATATTAAAGCCCTCAAGATAAATCTGGCCCCAGTTGTCTCTTGCAAATATCCAGGAATGTGGCAATCTTTGAGAGGCTGCCTAACGAATTGTTTCAAGTTTTCTTCCAGGATTTTGAAAACAAAAGTCACGCTTACTTAAAAAACTGTATTTTGCTGCTGATGGTCATTTTTCCAGTGGCAGAGTCAAGAGGAGGGCAGAGTTGTACGTGGAAAATCTCAGCCAGTGTGCTGTGTGGGTTTGTCCTTGGCCAGGGATCCTGGTTTGGAGGGGCCAGGCGGGATGCAGGGGTGCAGAGGGAGAGGAGCCCCCCTCTCCTGCCTGTGCAGGAGCAGGGCTGGGCTCACTAACTGCTGCAGCCCCTGGTGCAGCCGTGTCCCAGCAAATTGTTGTTCCGCCCGTCTTGGAGCTTCTCGTGGCTCTGAAGAGATGCTCTGCTGTCAATGCTGGAAGTCTGTCCACTTTGATCCTGCTGTCTTCTCAATCTGCCAGAGGGTAAAAACATGGATAGAGCTGTCATGTGCAGGTAGCTGTATGGGAAGGACAGCTGCTGTCTGCCCTGTGGATAGCCACATCCTCCTGGGTATAAAATGTTCCTGCATCATTTCACCTGCATTAACTGCTTGAGCTTTATAGCTGCCATTGCCTCTAAACACTGCTGATTGCTTCCTCCCAGATATGTGCAATTAGGTCTTGGACAAATCCTGCTGCCCTTAAAGCCTACCATAAAGAGCCAGCAGAGGAGAATGCTGGCTTTAGCACCTCTGCTCAGACTGTGACTTGGTAAAACCTCCAGCTGGAGGCTGATGAAAGCTGCTGACTGGGCACACAACAGCTGCCCCCCTCTGTTGTCCTACAAAATTATCAGTAATCTTCATCCATTAAAAGAGAAAAAAAACATGAGATGAAAGTATTTTCAGTATTCCTCTTGTTATTATTTCATGTTATCAAAGCCTCATGAGTAGTGTCAAGGAACACCAGCAACAAAACCATATGCTTAAAGACTGCAAAGTTATCTTTTGACAAAATTTTCTAGAGAACAGCAACAGCCCTAGAAGCACCTGCAGTCCCCACCAACCTGTTATCAAAGAGCTTCTCAGCATTTCTGCTCAACAGCAATCTCTGTAATTTTACTGTGATTCATGTCATATTCAGTATTTTCCTCCAAACACTGTGTAAAGATGTAACTTTCAGAAAAGATATAAGGATTCATGGAGAAGCTATGTGGTGGGAATTTATTTTTTTTTTAACATGAACAACTATTGTTTTGAAGGATTTTTTCTCTGAGTGTTTCTTTTCTCAAAAGGGGAAATAGTATTACTCAAAAAGGCACCAAGACTTGGCACCAGAGACATTATGGAAGAGCGCTTTGGTACAGCAATTATAAAAGGTATATATGCTATACTCCAAAAAAAACCCCAACTTTGCAAGTAATATAGAATACCTAGAAAATAGTCAGTGGAAAAGCATGCAAAAATCAAATTTGAAGGGTCCATTTCAAAGGCTTAAATACTTCCAAGTGGCATAAACAATATGGAGACACCATACTGAACATTCAGAAGAGAATGTGATGGGACATGAAAATACTGTAATTAAACAGATGAGCAAGGGAGGCTGTTAAAGCAAAAAAACAAACAAACAAAAAAAAAAAAACCAAAAAACTTGGAACACTGTGTAAAAGGGCAGTCACATTAAATGAAAAGCTGTAAGGCAGATTGAAGACAACAATTTAGAGGAAGAAATTGCCAAAAGCATTTTTGGTGAAGATTTTTAAGTGCATCAGAAATTCAATGGATACTGTTAAGTCTATAGGTCAGTGTATGAGTGAATTATTAGAGGATAGCACAGACAATGTGAGTCCCCAGCTGAAAAGCCAATGAATTATCTTCACCAATGTTCATGACAAATGAGCTGAGGAAGATTCCTTTCCTTAAGAGAAATTTGTCCATCATCTCCAGTTAAAACATCAGTGAAACAGCTTTAGAACCGTTGCTTAAATTAATGTTGATGAAGCATTAAGACAATGGATTTTCACCCTAATGACTTTAAGAAAATTATAATTTTTGCACCACTGAATGGAGAGTGTAGCTCTTTAAACTGTCTTGGCACTATGGAAGACAGCAGATGTGATGATGTTGGTTGTTTGTTGGTTTGGGGTGTTTTTTGGTTGCTTGCTGGTTTGGGTTTTTTTAACAAGATCTTCAAAAAAGATCCAAGAGACTACCAAGAGAGCAAGAGAGTTCAGCTTGAGACTTGAAACATCTCGGCATCTGAGCTACTGGTACAAGACTGAGGACTTTGTAGGCATTGAGGGAAAAGACTGCAGTGCTTGGAAACTTGTGTTGCAAAGTGTGGGTGGCAAACCTTGCAAACTGCTAAAAAGTGGAGTGAGAAAAACTTTGGCTCTATAGAGATCTGAGGAATCATTGCGTTGGTCTAAGACACGTAAAGTGCTTTCTTCCTGGAATTGTATATTTCCTTTGTTTGTAAAATGCTGAAAAAGAAGGCATTTACTGCACTGCTCAATTTAAAAGGAAAATAAGAATTCTCTCAACATGAAGCAAGAAAACACCAATTTTTAAATTTATTTTGAGAACCACTCAAACTGGCACAAAGGCAGAATGCATGTAGGGAGGACAGTGGAAAAAGGAGAGAAATAAAGCCCATGCTGAGTTCAAAAGATACCTCTGGCCAGCTCCAATTTTTTCACTCTCTACAGAGGTGGTTAATAATGCTGATTTATTTCCATTATTTTCTTTTATCCTGTTCCTACTCCCAGGTCTACTATTGAAACAGAATACGGGGATTTGGAAATCTTAAAGAAATATATTGTTTTAGCAATGCTTCACTGTATTTCCTTTTCAGACACTTTTTCTGTATCTAGATTCACTACACATATTTCAAATTATCAAAGTAAGCAATAGGTTATTAACCTGATGATGAGATAAAAAATTAACTGCTATTTAACTCTTCAATAATTTATCAATCACTGTATTCAGTTATTAAAATTACATTAAGGATTTCACTCTAGGGGTTTAGTTATTGTAGACATACAAAAACCTGCTTAGCAGTGTACCCTTGGGGCTGGGAAACTGGACTAAGAACCAGGAGATGCTGATTCTGTTTCCACCCCTGTCACCTTTGGACAAATTGCTGCACATTTCTGTGTCTCAGCTTCTCTCATCAGATGTCAAGCAGCTGCTGTCAAGAATGATGGAAGCTGAGAACTTTGTGTCTCTAAGTGCTGCTCTGTGTCTCACAGGCCTGAGTGAAACAAGGAATTACAAGTCTGGTGTCTGTGATAATTAGAAAAGAAGGTGGCATGTGTAATCAACCAAAATATAATTATACTGCATGTATAATTATGCCTGTATGCATTATTGAATATATAAAAATACAAAAGTAAAGAGAACAGACTGGCTAAAAGCAAGCATAGAAAATAAAATACTGAACAGAAGAGGACTGCAACAACTATGGCAGGACAGAAAGAAAATCACAAACATTTAATGAAAGCCAGTAGAAAACTTGGGGCCAGCAGGGAATTGCTTGCAGCTCAGCTTTGTTCTCTAGATGAAGAAGAATATTGAAGTTTGTCTTTAGGCTGCGTAGTAGGATAAGTTCAATGACAAAGAATGAAAAGTTGCAGATTCAACATAACTGTCAAAATTGCAGATTTCCTAAGACTGAGCTGTCCTCCCAACAGCACTGCAGTTTCAGAAAAAATAAAATAAAGCAATTGGTTTGTATTTCTCTTTAACTCAAAACTGCAGACTCAGGTCAAGACACAAAGAAATATGTGTGCACAGTCTCTTCAGTTAAAATATTGGACTTACAGAAGTGAAATTTCTCTCTTTCTGGTGCATTCTTGGTTCCTTGGTGTCAAACCCAGAGCACTTTTCTGTCAGATGTTCTAAGCCTTTAAAAATGTGAGTATCTTGACATGTTTCCTGTAATCATGGCAAAATAAATGCAGCCTGGGCCATTGTGTTCAAAAATGACACTAGTGCAATAAATCATTTGTAGGAAGCTGCTTTCCAGTGAATGACTTCTCTTGCCTTTAAGCTGATGCAGCTACAGGCTGTGATAACTTTATAAAGGCCCATGGAGAATGAATGGATTGATGGAGACTTTGTGGTGGATCTGAAGCAGGTACCTGTTCCTGTGCTGAATACTGTTGGCTAAGAATAAATAATAAAATGGCCAGCTATGGATGAAAAAGTGAACAAGTGGTTCTAGTGGATATAGTCATATGGAACAAAAAAACAGCAGGGAAAAGAGGATGAAAATTAGTTTGAACTGTGTCTATTGCATTTATTCCACGACAGTTCTGTACAAATACATAAGGAGTCTCAGAGGCAATTATGCTGGGAACTGAGAGTGGCTCTGCTGAACAGAAAAGAGTTTTCCTTCTTTTCATCATTGATCCATGCAATATTGATAGTGTGTGACCCTGAGCACTGCACAAACTCCAGCAGCGAGGAAGAAAGTGGTTGCTTCCATGCAATATTGATAGTGTGTGACCCTGAGCACTGCACAAACTCCACTCCAGCAGCGAGGAAGAAAGCGGGTGCCAGACACTACAGGAATGCATCAAGAACAGTAACTGAACCTCCAGTCAAATCTTGGTTTTGTCAGTATTTCTGGCAAAGAGAAAGAGCCTGTGTGAGCCATGAATTGGTTTTTAAGGATCTTATTTTCTCAATACTCAGATATTATAGTAGCATTCCTGCAGCATTGATTTCTGATACTGGATCTTGAATCTGATATCAGTCAGTGAAAGGGAATCCGGGGGAGAGGGAAAAATACTGGGTCCAAACCACTATAGCAGTACAGAGCACTGGCATCAGGCTTTGCAAAATGTAGCTGCTGTGTTTGAGGGCCATGTGGAGGCTGTTACACTGCCTGGTGCATGGTACCACCTTTGTGCAGCTGATGCATTCCTCAGTGGGTCTTGCCAGGCTCTCAGGGTGAAACTGAAGGCTCAGAAATACCAGGAGTTGTCTCAAACTGTGGGCCTGCTCTCTGCAACCATGAGAGGACAAAAGAAACTTTCTACTGACAAAGAGAACTCAAGCCAGGCAGAGCTGCCCCTCCCCTGAGACTCCCACACTCACCACATTCTGAAGGAAAGTCTTTTTATTATGAAAAATCTGCAAGTGAGTTTGCCAAAGTTGCAAATCGAGTGTCCTGAGGGTGGAGGAAACAGAACAGTCTGAGTGGGCAGTGGATTTGTTTTGCCATTTCTAGATTTAGCATTTTACCTTGGTTTCTTGGTATTTCACTTTGCTTGAGAAAATAGATGCTTTTGGTCTGGGGAAAAGAAGAACTTAATAAAATGAATTATAGAAACTAGTTTTATTGTAGGAAACAAAAGCCTAATAATGAAAACTTTCACATCCCTTGAGATAAGTCCTGAGGAATAAATAAATCTGTGGATTATTTACCCAGTTATTCTTCCAAGGGATGGGGACTGAGATCAGAACAG